ATTTCATGTCATTAGCACCTCTAGTAATATATTTACTGAGAAAAATGGTGACGTGTTCAATACTTATTTTACCCGCTGTATATTTAAGTTTATAAACATACCAAAAAGGAATATACTTTAAGTACATGTCATTATGTATACTAAAGTATACAAAAGTGTATTCCCATAAGTGTACTTTTATTTACCATGTGCACTGTTATAAGTATACTAGCAGTTCACTAACAAATGTACTTTCAGTGATACTACTAAAGTTTATCTTGGCCAAAGATGTAACCATTAGTATAGACTAAGTATACTTAAACTTTTAGTCTACTTTTAGTACAAGCAAGTATTGTGTAAGATAAACTTGGTTTAGTATATCTCAGATAAGTACATAAAAAGTAAACTGGAAGTATAATCTTTTATTTTTAGTTTAAAATTAGTATTCTTAATGGATRCTTGCATGTACTACTTTTTGCTAAGGGTAAACAGGTTTTATACTTGTAATTTCTCAATTTTCTCATATTGGTAATTATATTTTTTTAAGGTTTTGCCCATTTAAATTAACGTGTATTAAAGCAAACCATGTTTGTTAATAAACATTAAAATAAGGCCTTTCAAAGCTTTAAACCCACATAAGTCAAATTACATGATCACTAGGATACATGGTTAGTTTTCTGCATTTGACACATTTTCCCCAACTTTTTTCTAAATCCAGATTCTCTTTCTAAAAATCTGGACCCACCTGTCTTCATGGAGCCCCTGGAAGACTGCTGTGCAGATGAAGGAGGCGACCTTGTGCTGCGAGGCGTTCTTACAGGGAGCCAGCCYATCAGAGTGACGTGGCTGCAAAATGGTGAGAAAAATAAAATCCTAAAAGGAGGTATTTTTTTTGTATTCATGCACAGTCATTATCTTACCTGCAGCAGACAGACAAAACATATGTTTCAACTCTTTTGTGTTTCTGAAAAAGGGGAAGCAGCACATTTTGGAAAACCTTCTTTCAACGGCAGGGAGGTGAAATTTGTAGTGAGGGAGTGTTTAGCAGAAGCTGCCGGTACCTACACGTGTTTGGCTGAAAACAGTGCAGGAAGGACATCCTGCAGAGCTGCTGTGGGCATCAGGGGTGAGACAGTCACAGAACAATCTTCCAATAAGTCACTGGAACAAATGTGTACATTTTCACTAAAGTTCATCAACCAGGAAGTACATTTTCAATAAAAATGTATGAAAATTGCATGTCCGACAGGCCCCACTGTCCATTTTTAAGACTCGTTTAAAAACTTATTTTTTCTCACCGGCCTTCAACCCAACTGAGATTTGATTTTACTCAACGTTTACTGTATTGGTGCTGATTTTACTTATCTAACTGTGTGATTTTATTGTGTTTTTGTATTCGGTTTTTATTTTATGTGTTCAGCACTTTGTTTCAGCAACGGCTGATGTCATAGCGCTTTACAAATAAAGTTTAATTGATTGATAAAAAAAAACAGTCAATAACAAGTTATAACAAAAGCTCTTGGTTCCATTGAATAATTGTCTTTGTTAACTTTCGTACACAATAAGTAAGCACTGACAAAGTTTTGTTTCTTTTATGGTTCCTGTTTCTTGTTTCAGAATTTGAAAGTACGCATCGCGTCTCGTCGTTACCCACTTCTGCATCTGAGAGCACTGTGGAAAACGGACGGTCACCACAAACTCCCAAAGATGAGCAAGAGGTGTTTAAAAAAGTTTTTAGTTGCTCTCCTACAAGYCCTGAAATACAGAGCCCAGTCTTTTCCCCAAGAGGTAAAATAATCATTTGTATATCTTAATCTGTGTTTGCTTTTAGGTTCAGTTATTGCAGCTTTTTTGACACATTTTTGCAATTTTTCTGCTCATTTTTCACTTTCGTTTTTCTATTTTTAGCGAATGTCTGTTGTTTAAATTTAACCCACATTAACAGTTTTGCCATTAAACCTTTTCAGCTCCTTTAGCAGCTTTAAAATCTTTCAGCATYAAGTATTCACACAGCCTTTTCACAGGAAATGCACTTGCTCTAGAATCTGCAAAATCTTTGTTCCCCATTGAAATAATCATCAAACCTGCTCTGTTTATATTTTCTTATCTCCCTGTTAGCTCATAGCTAATTGTTTGGCTTCATTTAGCTTTTAATACTCAGCATTCAGC